TTCTCTTCTCTTCTCTTCTCTTCTCTCTCTCTCTCTCTCTCTCTCTCTCTCTCTCTCTCGTCAAAATCAATAAAAACAAAACCTCAAGTGAGGATTAAGAAAAAACGATAAATATAAGTTGCTTTTCAGCACTTGGTCAAATATTGAATACATAGCACTGGCACTCAGGCAATGTATTTCCAATTGCTTTTGGAATGTTTCATGTGAAGCAAAGTATTTCCAATTAGACCAACTATGTATTCTCCCATCTCAGCCTTATCTCTGCTGCCTAATAGGTCTAGCAACAAACTGCTCCAAGTAGAGCTTTTCATCAGTGGGCATAGCTAATTGTTTTGTGTTCTGACTGTTGCTCAAACTCAGTAATGTACATTAGGTATAGAAACATTTGGCAGGAAAGTGCTTTTAGTAAAATTTAAACATTGAATAATTCCATTTATTATGAATATTCTATTGCATTGACTAATTTGTAAAATGCTATACAATATGAATATTCTACCAAATTTAAGAACACATTTTAGATATAATAAATTAAAACATACATATTTAGGTTCAATAGCAATGAACTCAAGAATGACTAACCCATGTTCCGTTATCAGCCTGTGTTAGAGAATTTGCTATCTTTACCTTCCGGCTAAAGTAAAAGAATTATCTTAAGATTTTTCTATGTGGAGATGCCCATAAAAACACTTAGTTATTTATCTACTAAAGCAGTATATCTTTAAAATTAAAACAAATAAAATAAAATAAAAATAAAGTGGATTCTTCTTTAGAAGTGAACACAACTATTTCAAAATTATGAGATTGGACAGGCATGTTCAGCATCCAGGAGCTATGCTGAATTGAAACAAGTATTACCTACATATATAATGGAAAATTACATCATTAAATTATACTGCGTAATTCATCACAAGGAGTATTTCTTTGTTGCTCATTTCACATTTTTTCCTATTTTTAACATTCACTTTTGTAATAAACATACACATATTCTCTAAAGTGCAATATCCAATGTTCCTAAATGCTATTTAAGCGGCATTTGTCTCCCTAGGTACACCAGGAAGCCATGGAGCACAAGCATTGGTTTAAAGTATCAAATTAACATAACATCCCCAAACATGTGGCTTTTGGAAGTTGTGACAGCTAAACAACTAAAGGAAACCTTGAGCCATATCGAGCTATTTTTAAAATAGAAATAAAATCCCTCGCCATGTTTCCGTCACTATTAGGGCCAGAAATTATCTTGGTTAACAACCTTGAGAAGAGAAAGGCTGAGGAAGTTAGCTTTCCTCTTGTAATGTTTTTCTCTTCCATTCCCACACAATCCCTTTTTCATTTTTCTAATTTTGGTCTAATTTTGCCATATATTTGTACCCACAGCAGAAGAGAACAGCTGCATTTAATGGTACTCACAATCACTATCGAAAGATCTCTAAGACAGCTATGATATTAAAAGCATATATAGTGTACATAACAGATAAATTTTCTCTTTTCTTGCACATAAACCTCAATTAAAAACTCATTTAATTTGGATTGACTATGTGCTGAAGTAATTCCAATTACCTAAAAATATGTGTATGCTTGGCATATTTTGACTATATTTCATTGCTAATAAGCACATCTAATCTGCTCTGAGAGCTTAACTGGGATGGCTTTATTACTGTCGTTATAAAATATCCTGTATACAATGCCCACAAATCAGATTCCAGATGTAGAAGCATAGTAGCTTTAGTCACTATGTTGCAACAAGCCACAAGTACACAATTTTAAAAGAAATTTTAAAATTTTGCATTAAATACCTCTAGTTAATAATAATAAGTAAAACCAAATTATTAGTGTTGCCAAACAACTAAAGTACAGATATGGCTTAAGTTCATGAAGATGTTTTTTCCAATATGAAAAGTTATAACAGAAGCCTGTGCAGAGTAAAACTCTCTTTCCACATACAGACTGCCTATATTGATCACATTGTATATATGTATTACTTCATTCTATATTTATTCAACTGTAGGCCTGGAGCACAAAAATTTGTGCACTTGGGGGGGTCCCTCAGCCCAGCCTGTGCCCTCTCGCAGTCTGGAACCCCTCGGGGATGACCACCTGCTGGCTTAGGCCCGCTCCCCGGGGGATTGGGCCTAAGCTGGCAGTCAGACATCCCTCTGGCAGCCCGGGAGCCCTCAGGGGATGTCCACTTGCCAGCGGGGACCAGGCCTAAGCTGCAGTCGGACATCCTTAGCACTGCTGAGGCGGGAGAGGCTCCCACCACCACCACTGTACTGGCAGCCATCAGCCTGGCTTGTGGCTGAGCAGAGCTCCCCCTGTGGGAGCGCACTACCACCAGGGAGCAGCTCCTGCATTGAACATCTGCCCCCTGGTGGTCAGTGTGTGTCATAGTGACCAGTCATTCCCAGTCGTTCTGCTGTTAGGGTCAATTTGCATATTACCCTTTTA